TACCAGAGGGACGACACCAACCTCCCCTGAGTTAACCAAGAAAACATCACCACCATCAGCTGAGGAGTTAGAGTTAGTATCCGTAGGCTCCACGCCATCAGTATGTAAAGGACTAGCTTTAGAATTAACACAACAATTAGTATCTAACAAAATTGCACTGCTAGGAGCCACAATAAGGGGACCCCCACCCATAGCAGCACCACAAACACCAACCGGTGAGCCACCTGAACAAGTCACATCAACAAAAATAGGAATAGTAGGAGAATGAACTGGGCCAGACGAAGTTGAAACAACAACAACTTCAACATCGCCAATAACCACATCACTTAAGGAAATAACAGGCAAAAAGACACGAGACACAGGCACATGATTCTCCAGGTAACCAACAGGGTTCATAGATGGTAAAACAACATGAGACAGAACAACTACATTAAGACTAGAATTGATAAGAGTAGCATCCCCTAAATCACCAACATTATACCCCGAGATCTTCACAACATTCTTCAACACAATAGAAGCATCAACAACCTCCACCCTAGGCACAACAAGAGATAGAGAAGAGGGAAAAGATAAATTCAAAACAGGTGGGGGGGGGAGATAAATTCAAAGCAGGTTTAGCAACTAAATTAAATAAGTCAGTCGAAAGAGGAGGACGACATTTCCAGCCACATGCCTAATACACTTACAAGATGCACAAAAAGGGGGAAAGTCATCCAAAATAATATCCTGCACATACCCTAAACTTTCATAACCTAACCAAACCTGGTTTGGATACGATTTAGTTATATCTAGCTCCATCAGCACACGAGCCATGGAGGCCGAGATCCCGCAGAAGTAGCCGCATCAATTTTCAGAGGTTTACCAAAAATATCTCCCAAACCATAAATTATACGAGGAGAATAAAGATGAGGAAGTAATTGCGAAAAAGAGACCCAAATCGGAATGACAGGCAACTTAACACCAACATACAAGCTGGGAGACCATTTCGTGAGTTTCATGTAACAGTTGAAAACTAGGAAGGATCTATGACAAAATACCATACAGTAATCAAGATCATTAGCTAGTTTAATCAGAATATGCGATGTTTCAAGCAAGGTGATCGAAACTTCACCGTTCTGCTTTAGGTTAAAGAAAAATTTGCAAAAGGAATCAAGAGAGGGCCGCTTAAAAGGGAAGAATCCAACTAAGGAAAATTGAAAAGGGACAGCTAAATCATTTATTTCCTGGTCGGAAATCCAAAGGGAGGGAAAGCTAGGAAAAGTTGAGGTCCGCAGTACCGAAAAAGAGGTAAATGAATTAGAACCAATAAGCGCATCCAAAAACGAGCGCGAATGAGACGAACCCCCTAAAAACTGGGGTCGCACAACCGATTCGGCGTCATTCCGGCACACGCTGGAGAAGGAGACCGAAAACAAAGCGAGAAAATACAAAATCAAATAAAACAAAAGAAAAGTAAGAGAGCGTTTCCCTGAAAATCAACGAGATTGCCAGCGCCAGCAAGGGGGAGGCCCCAACGGGGCGGGGGGAACCCCGACAAAGCTTCAGAAAAAAAAACCCCTATCAAAGGAAAAGGAAGTGGATGTTATTTAAAGATTTTCATATGATACAAGTGAATAAGACATACAAATGCATTAATTTGATAGTTCAATAATATTAGTGTTGTCAAAATTGAGTCACAGGTTAGGTTCGGGTGGAACCCAGAATTGACCCTATTCTAGTTGAACTGACCCGTTTGTGAAGAGTCACATGCCGGGTTTGGGTCGAATTGAACCCAGAATTGACCCGACATTAGTTGAACCGACCCGTTTGTATTTTAATCTGGATCTGACTCACTCAGGTTATCAGGTTGAATCGACCCAGCCGTTGTCGTATTAGCGGCGGCAACGACAGTGTCGTCACTCGTCAATGGGACATGACTGACACAAAGAGACACGCGACTCAACGCGACGACTACATGAGCATACACGATCAGCGTGGGTAAATCTGGGTCATTCTTAGGGTTTCGAGTCAACCCGAAACTGACCCAATTTTTAAAACGGGTCTGTTTGTTGCACATGAACCTAACCCATTTCTCAAACAGGTTGATCCTAAAACGAAATTTTTGGGTCGAGTTTGGATCACATTTTCGGGTCTTGTCAAATATTGACACTCCTAAATAAATATGAAAATTAAAATTTAAAATAAACATATTATTATTATTGTTGCGTCCAGGAGTATTCGCGACGGTTGAGAAATATCATATTTAACGTCTTAGCGTTGTACGAAAATCCAGCACGCAATCAGATAAGAGAGATGATCTAGCATTTATGAGACACCAAGATTATTACGTGGAAAACCCCTGAAAAAGGGGGAAAAACCACGGGGCCTAGCCAGTTTGAACGAATCCACTAGTATTTGCAGTCGATTACAAATGAGGCCCTTCCTTGGGAGAAGGCCTTAGCTTGATGTACATCTTATAGAGTACATTACATGATGTAAATACAAAGAGCTACTATTGACATATTCGCTTTGTTGGAAGGACTGTAGTCGGCGGACGACGGAAGTCAGGAGGACTGTAGTCAGATGGCGACGGAGGTCGGAAGGACTGTAGTCGGCGGGCGACGTAAGTCAGGAGGACCGTAGTCGGCGGGCGACGGAGGTCGGAAAGACTGTAGTCGGCGGGCGACCTAAGTCAGGAGGACCGTAGTCGACGGGCGACGGAATGTCAGGAAAAGAACTGGTAGTCGGCGGGCGACGTAAGTCAGGAGGATCGTAGTCGGCTGGCGACGGAGGTCAGAAGGACTGTAGTCTGACGATGAAGATCAGAAGGACAGCGTCAGGTAGAAGTCCAACAATGAAAGAAATCCATCTTCGCGTAGATGTCCAGCAAAGTCCGATAACCGGTAGAAGTCCGATATCGGGTAGAAACTTGGAGAAGAGTGAAGGTCCGACGTCGGGTAGAAGTCCGACGTCTGTTGGTGGCAGAGAAGAAATCCGGCTTCACTTGGGCGGAGTTTCGGCGTCAGGAGGAAACTCTGCTATAAATTGGGAAGAATTTCCGCATCCCATGGTAGTTAGGCAGAATTCTGGCGTTCTCCCGAAAATCCGGTAGAGTTCCGGCATGTTCGGGCGGCGGGAAGAGCTCTAGCGGTGGTCGAGGAGGAGCTTCTTCCTTCTCCTCCTTCTTCTCTTCTTCTTCCCTCTCTTCACTTGAGTTCCTTTGTGTAGAATGAGGGCTCTATTTATAGTTTTTCTGGAGTGGCATAGCCCATAAATAGGCGTGAGATCAGGGGCGAATAGGGAGTGGTTTGAATGGACGACCGATATTGAATCCTACGATCATGGACCGGTTCGTTGGATCTTAGAAGGTTTAGTGATGTCGGAATTTGGCGATCTTGGGCTCGTTGGATTCGTCTCGTCGAGTCGCTCGATTCAAGTACAAGCTCGTTAAAATCGGAGACCATTTGGTAACTTCAAATTTGCGGTTTTGAACCTTTCCAACAGCGCTTTGAGCCTTGATTCAGACTCCATTTGGGCTCAGATTGGGTCGAATTTGGTGTCGTTGGGTTCGTATTACCAAGACGCTCAATTTGACTATAAGCTTGCTGAAATCCGAGTTCGGGTGGTCCCGGAATTTAATTTTTTGAAGTTTTTCGATTTGGGTTTTGCATCGAGATTCGTGCCCAATCTAGATAACTTCATGATATCGTATCAATTATTATTTATGTAATTGTCCCTTATATTAAATGTCTAGAGAGATTTGAGATTGATTTGGAGAGGAATTTTAAAAGTGTTGACAGAATAAACTTTTGAAAGTTATTATAAAAAATAGCTTCCTAAAAAATATTTAGAAAATAATGTGAAAACAAAATAATTTATTTTTGGATTTTTCAAATAAAAATGCATAATATTTTTTTCATTTTTGACTAATCATCTAAACAAATAATTCTTAAATAATTTAGAATATAAATTTATTTATATATTTATAAAGAATTAAAAAACTGTGTTCCCATTCTTGATGTCACGTGGGCGATAAGCTGATGATCCTACACGGCCATCATAAGCATTTGCGACGGCAGGCTTTGCAGATTGGACGGCTAATTTTGACGGTTCTGTCGGTATCTCTTTGGCAACAAACCACCAATCCTGCGCCTCCGCCGGACTTCTCACGTTCCACGTGTCGCAAAGATGAATTCAGTCGGCCTAACGAGAAGGAAAAATCCTAATACGCTGACATTAAGCAATAAATAATTTAATATGTTAATTAAAATAATTTATTAAATTCTCATCAAAATAAAGTTTAAAATGATTAATTGTTTCAAATATATAATATAATTAAATCTCATTTTACATTTTTTTTAAATATATTGATTTAGAGATATTTTTTAGCAAATTTTCTTTATAACAACTGAGACAGTGTAATATTTATTAAATTTAAATGTGAAATATTTAAATAATTTAATATGTTAATTAAAATAATTTATTAAATTCTCATCAAAATAAAGTTTAAAATGATTAATTGTTTCAAATATATAATATTAATTAAATTTCATTTTACATTTTTTTTAAATATATTGATTTAGAGATATTTTTTAGCAAATTTTCTTTATAACAACTGAGACAGTGTAATATTTATTAAATTTAAATGTGAAATATTTGACATTATAAGATTTGAAAACATATTCCGAAATTGATTCATAATTAGTTACAGAAAGAGAAGTATTTACTGACCTATAATGTGATAATATTTTAAGATACCGATTTATTTTTAAACATTTTTTATTAATTTTTTTTTTCCCAATTTGCCAGCGCAGTGTAACTAAAATCAGTTGTGCCGTTAAGCAGTTACGATTAATCCGTGTTGGCCGCGTAGTGGGGCAGGCGGCTCAGAGCTTTGATTCCCGACACGTGGACGACTCACGTTCAGCGCGGCGCGGACGGCCGATCTACCCAGTCTGGACTTCTTTCTCTTTATAAAATTAAAAAACGACCTCATTCGCAAGCTCCCATGCGCAAGAAGACACTCCACCTTGACATCTGATTTATATAAATCCTCCTCTCCTCTTCCTCCTCACTGCCAACAAATCCTTTCTCAATGGCGACGGCTGCGTGGCTCCGAGGCATTCCCATAGGCCGAGGCGCAACCGCCACAGTCTCCGTCGCCGCCGCTTCCACCGGCGAACTTTTCGCTGTCAAATCAGCTCCACTCTCCCACTCAGCCCCCCTACAACGCGAGCAGAGTATCCTTTCCTCATTGAACTTTCCCTCTATCCTCTCCTGCCTTGGCTTCGAAATCACCAAGGAAGCCGGCGGTACAAGTTATTTCAACCTCTTTCTGGAATATGCCGCCGGCGGCTCTCTTTCCGACGATATCAAGCGGCGAGGCGGTCGACTCAACGAAGCGGACATCCGTACCCGCGCCCGAGATATCCTCTCCGGCCTTGCTCATCTCCACAAGGCTGGCGTCGTCCACTGTGACGTGAAGCCGGGGAATGTCCTGATCGGATCCGACGGTCGAGCAAAGATTGGGGATCTGGGATGCGCGCGATGGATTGCCGACGGCGAAAGGGAAATAAGAGGGTCACCGATGTACATGGCGCCGGAGGCGGTGAGAGGACAGGAGCAAGGGACCCCTGCGGATTTATGGTCGTTCGGTTGTACAGTTATTGAAATGGCTACCGGCCGGCCGCCGTGGCCGGATGTCACCGATGCGTTCGAAGGGATTAGTCGGATTGGGTTTTCCGGCGAAGTCCCGGCGATTCCAGATTGTTTTTCGGATGAGGCGAAGGATTTTGTAAATAATTGCTTGAAGACGGATCCGATGGAGCGTTGGACGGCGGACGAGCTTCTGCGTCATCCATTCGTTGAATGCTCGAGTTCTTCCTCTAATTGCACGGATTTTAATTGGATTTCGCCGAAGAGTACTCTGGATCCGAGTTTATGGGAGTCTACTGAAGAACAAGAGGTAGCAGATGAAGAGGAATTCTCCAATGAGCCGGCGGCAGGGAGAATCCAGGAACTTGCGTCAGTTTCTTCCACCCCTAATTGGACTTGGGATGAAGACTGGGTCGAAGTTCGGAAAGTAGCCGGAGAATGCGCTGCGAAGAAAGAAGTCATCTCAGCCATTGACGTCGCCGGCGGCCAGATGGGGGTTACTGATTTCTTGATTTCCGATGAGGCCGCGAGTACGAGCGGCGGTGAGGAAATCGTGTTTCGTGTAGATATCGTGTCGAATGAATCACGGGTAGGTTGTGGATGGGAGGAGGGCCATACTGAGCTGATTCGGGTTTCTCCTAAAATGGGAATTGTAGATAATAGAAAAGGTTATTATTGGGGCTTTGTAATTTGGTTCCTTGCTTCATTTCTTAAGTTGACATTGTGTGTTTGGCCTTTCTATCTTGTTTTATTCTTGCTTTGAATAGTTTATATTTGGTAGTTTATACTTTTGTGTTAGTTTATGCCAAATGGATGGAGTCTAGTCCTTAATGGAGTTCTCAAGGAGGAAAATTGGATATAGTAATATAGTTTTCTAATTAAATTTAATAAATCTCAATATATAAATAATTAAATAGAATTTATGCCATACTCATTTAAAATAAAATTAATAGATTTGAAAATCATTATTACTATGATTGCTAGAAAAATTAGGTATTCATTATATATATATATATATATATTAGTTGTAATATGCTTATTTTATAATTTACATATAAGTTTTGAGTAGATTTTATGCTCATGAATATTTTGTGTTTTGCTCTTTAAGTTAATGAACTAAACACATATATATAGAAAAAAAAAATTGATATGTTTAATTAAGCTTGAAGTATTTTCGCCCCTAATAATGGCTCTTTTCTTTTTTGCCTTTTTCTGCATTCTTTTTTTTTAGGTGCTCTCTTCCTAATTACTGCGGCAGTCTCCTATGGACTTTGCTGATTTGTTGGTTGTTGCTTTCTTTGGCTGGTTGAGTCCTTTGGGTTTATTATTATTATTATTTTTTGCTTAATTGTAATAGATAGAATTATTGACTTTTAGATTTTATTTCAAATGTTGCATTTTTAGAGAACTTTTGGTTCTTTAAAGACTTAGAATTTCATTTTTTTTATTAATGCGTAGGCCCATTCATGAGTTTATCAAAAAAAAAAAAAAATTTAGTGAAAAAAAAGATAAAAAATCTTGATCAATATTTAGTCAAAATCGGTAACAATTGTTGAATTTTTTATTTTTTTGAATGCTAAATGTCAAATTATAATTAATGTGGCTCAAATTATGATTTTAGAAAAATAACCTTCCCTAATCACAAATAATTATGAAATTAATTTTGAGATAATACAGAACATAAATAATTATTCTGATAATTTTTTTTAATGTTCCCAACTCTTTTGGTTCAACAATGATGCTTCCTTGAATATGCTGAGTATTTGGCAGGCGAATATGCTGAGCGGCAATTATAAAAAAAATTCCGTACCTCACTGATAAAGATTGTTATTGATCAAGTTTTATTAAATAAATTGCATCTTAGCCTTACGATGATTGAATATGAGCAGAGAGAAAGGTGCTCGACGTGCTCCTAATAATTGCTTAACCATATGGGCAGCTTAAATGTTGATCAGTTTAAAAATTCAAAACTTAGGGATTATCTTATGAGCTAAAAGTGGATTGGTGAGGTCAAAGAGTTATTTAAAGATGAAACACCTTGATTTCAAGATTTGTGTGTTAAAATATGTAAGATTATGGAAAGAGATTAGTGCATGCCTTAGCATTATGCTAAAATTCTCCTCCTATACAGTTAATAAGTGATAATAGATTTTTTATGTAAGAAATGTGGCAAGGAAAAAAATCACGGGAATGAATCAATTAGTGTGGGTCGTAGATTAATAGAAAATATCTTTCTTTGTAATTTGATAAGACATTGATACAATTTAGTATGCATGAAGTATGGAAGATGGCTTCCACGGTGGAAGTAGAATGTGCTTGAGATGTTGGAGTTATCATCAATAGATGATTGGTAGTCTGTGCAATCGTTCTCCTCATGCCTTGATGGAGATAGTGTCACTGTCAGCGATGATGATGACAATGGGCATTGGTATTAAAGAGGGTATGAATATGAATTTTATAACAAGGAGTTTGTTGTCTTTTTTTAGATTGAGTAAACTTTGGTTGTCTAGAGTTGGAATAAAAGGGATACTTGAAATTATATGAATGTCTTAGCATTCTTGGAGGGTTTTCTCATAAAGGAAACATCTAAGTAGTTTATAGAATTTTGAGAAATGAAGTTGAGGGTGTAGCTCTTACAGTCTATGAGTGAATTATTCTAAAAAAGGAAAAAATTCTACATCGGTCATAATAAATAGACTAAATAAATTGAAATAAGAAAAATATTTATTTTTTCTAAAGAACAAGAAGAAAAATGCCTAAATATATGTCTTGACTAAACAAGAGTATGAGATTTAGGTTTAGTTTGGGATGATTTTTTTTATTGCTTCTTAAAACAGAGTTTAGATCCCAAATAAAATCTTAAAAATCATATATATGAGTTTTCACAAAGCTTTAAACATCATACATGATGAGTTTTCCTTAGGTTTAATACATGCAATTGTACTAAGTGGACTACACCATATCATGATCATGCATGGGTGTCCTTTTTTTTTTAATATATATATATATATATATATATAT